GTTACACCGGGCCTCATACCTTACTTTTACAAAGTAGTCAAAAACTACAGTTAGAGTGAGGGGAGAGGGCATCGCTTTTATCCAAAACGGAGGACTAGAGTGCATAGGAGGGGTAGGCGAAAGAATATGGCTCCAAGCTAAGCTCTCAGGAGGGGAGGGGCGACGGGATAGAGGTGAGAAGGTTACCTCGTATGAAAAGCTAGGATGGGGCATGAGTTATGATTCGATTGACCCACCTGTTCCGTACCCCTTTCCTCCTGAGACAGAGGTCAAAGACTGTATGTTCTCGGCTAATAACGTTTATGAACACAATTATGGGCTAACCTCCTTATGTCGAAATTATGTTGAAAAAAAACGGAGGTCTTCCAACCACATTATCACCTCCGGTTTTTGTAAAAGCAGACACAGGGGGCAGGATGCCATTTTGGAATCACACTTTTGAAGTACCCACTCCGCATCACTAAGCTCACTCCGCAGTTCTTAACCACCAAGTTACTGCCTTATACAGGGTGTTCCGAAATTGTTGGCACCGATTTGCAGCATATATTTGAAACTTTTCAGCTGCGAAAGACGATAAAATTTCTAGGCCCGCTAGCTAACACTTCGTGCTACAACTTGCTACAGTCGCATTTCAAAATATCCCTCATGAACGCGGATAGAAGTCAAAGTTTGCTCTCGATTTGATCGCATGTGGCACGCAGGTATCCTTCTCCATTTCTTCCCAGCCGTTCTTCAACCTCCATCCTAGGACTCAAACTGGGACTGCAAACTCGGCAGGTCCTCTTCTAATAAGGGACACCCGTGGGAGTGAAGTGAGTCAAGTTCTGGAAAATAAGATGACCATTCCTCTTCACCAATGAAGTCGGGCAGCTGCCGTCGGCACTACTCGCAGGCAAGCTTGACTCTGTGAGCTGGAGTAGCGTCCTGCTGGAAGGACAACGAGATGTTTCAGGAAACGTAGTCGGACATTACTTCCATCGGTACGCTGTTTGAGTACTGGTCTTGGCCAATTGTTACGCCTTCACCAAGAAACCACGAGCGGCTTACCCTTGCCAGTTATTTCCTCGAAAAACAACGATTCACAGTTCTTATAGCACGTTTTCGTGAGATATTACACGCTAGATGTTTCTTTCCGGAACGCGAACGTTTTGTTTGTCGAGCGATGAATTTATCATGAAAAATTTTTTGGCCAGAGAAAACGACGAAGGGTTGTGTGTCATCACTCACGTGGGTCTGCGACTTTCTGCATTTTTTGGCCATGCAGTGTCTGTTGGGATCGGAATTGAAGCGAAACTTCTGCATTTGATAGGAATTTCAGTAGAGCTTTTGCATGACATTATTCCATCGCGATAACTCCTGTAAGTCGTGCCCGTTGACTTACTTTTGATGGGTCACCCAGAATCCCGACCGATTGGCAGACGGACCATTTTAATAGTCCTCTTTTCAAAAACATTCTACCTTTCTACCTTTCCTGATTTGTCTCTGATTCAAGCTTTTTTCCGTATCACTTAATAGCCTCCTATACGGCTATTACAAAAATCCCAAAAAATTTCATAATGCCCTTCCACCTTTCGCATGTCAATGATTGCAAGTGGCATTGAATGAATCTTCTCAGTCTGAAAGATATCGGGAGTTCCACATCAGTAACCATGCATATTGCAAGGAAACTTCTTATGCTACTGATTAATAACAGGTAATCTGAATTTGATAAATTACTTCTACCTTAGAAGTTTCAGAATTTTGGCGCCAATAATCTTGGGACACCCTGCATATAAGAAGGAAGTGTAGAATAGAACTCAGTTTTTTATATCACTATCTTTATCGTAATCATAAGGTTTTGCGGACGGACACACCGACAAACCGACATAGCGACATACTGACATACCGACATACAGACATACCGACAAACCGACAAACCGACACACCAAGTTACTGCTTTATAAATAAGAGATACTTGTTACATTCATGCCGACGTGGCAATAACTACACTAACACTCATTCGTCGAAATGGGTGTTGAACCATTAAGAAGCAGATTAGATCTACGCGCACTTTGGGCATCATCAACATATATCGGTCAATAGTTGCGTATGGTTTGAAATTTCATCTTTGGAGCATAGGTAGACGGGGAGCTTCTCAGTCGGATCATTCTTGGCCGTAGTGGCATCACAATATAGCCATACCTATCCGCATTACTCAATACCTGGATCCACTATCCGACAACACAATATCGGACCACACAATATGCAAAAGAGGAAGAAAAAACTGTCAAGTTTCCGTTATACTGATAAAGCTTAAAACCAAGCCGTGCGCTTCAGCAATTCAGAGATTATCAGCGTGGCGAATCACACAGATTTTTAGGCGAGCAACCTCATCACCCTAGTTCGCAATTGATGAATGGTTGATGCTTTGAGATCATTCAGTAATAATTTGTTCAGGTTTTGTCCAAACATTTGGGAATTTTCGTGAATTCACATGATCGCATCGGAAATGCATTCTTTATGATGGTACCTCGACGTTCTTCCAAAGATTCATGAATGCACTACCCGTCACCCTATCGTTCATTGTTTAACAACACCAACTCCCAATGCTCATTCTTAACTCGTGCAAGTGCTGTAAACGTGAGAAAGCTCCGATATCAACATTACTGATATGATAATATAATGAATGTGTTCATTCACTCAAAAAGCTGCGATCCACGTCTGTCAGTCGATGGACCATCTGCATCGATGGTCCTTCTTAGCTGTCGCGCAAGTCCATTCCGACGAGCAGTGTTCAGATGTACAGCCACATTAGCATTTAGCATGTCAATGTTGGTGCTGTGTGTCGTGGTATCACAGGAAGCATTCGCTTACTTGACACTCCTCAGGTAACGTCTTCTAAAATTACGCATTTGAATATCATTGGGATGGATGAAAAGTTTCATCCCACTTCTTGAATATGGTAGATCTTCTCTCAATGTGACAGCGTCTAGGCGGCAGCGGCAAAAATGGCAGTATAGCCAGTGCTGCCCTTATTGATGACACTCAATTGTTTTTCTTCATTTTTTGCATCATGGCGGTTCCGTCCTGAAGGTCCGCACCAAGCCAAATCACATTTTTTCTACCTCTTTAGCTATGGGAAGAGCTTCCCTTACAAAGGTTCCGAGGAGGGAGACTCTTGAAGGTGACCAACTACTGCGTATAGTGAAACAAGATCCGTTTCGATGTACAAGAGAAACTGTAGTCCTCGGAGAGGAAGCACGTTTGGACACCTCCTAGAGCCAATCGATCGTGGTAGTCTGCATGACTCCGCTTCACAGAGGAAGCAGTCAACTGGAGCATCTCATCGCCAACAATGAGAAATGGACCACCAAAAATACCATTCTAAGAAACCACAGTACAGAAAAAAAAGAGTGAAAGTGGTTAAACTCCATGTATGTCGTCATGCTGTCACTTTAGTGGGATGTACATATGGCAGTACTTTTGCTACTGCTAGATGAGTGATCTCCTATTTCTGACAATCTCCACTCACAACAGCTACGGATTCTCCAATAGATGGTCAATAGCGGCAAGTAATTGCTCGAAAATTGTACCAGCCTCACAACAACAACAATCCGCTGGTTGCGAGAGGAGAAGTCGAAATTCGTGCACCTTTGTTGAAAAGTGCTATCGCATTGACGTGTAGATTTGGAATCGTTCCTTCCAACCGTCTACCCTTCTACCTAACTCGTCACTTAGACAGGGGAAGCCTCAAAACTCGAGCACAAGTCGAAATCGAGTTGGTGTCGTTTCTTGCCTTGCCCCAGCCTCCATCTTGGAGGACGATATTAAAGCTGCCTGAACGCTGGCAAGAAGTAGCTGACAACGATTGTGGACATTTTTAACCTCGTGCATTTCAGTATACCAGTAAAGCTCGCTATTGGAAAATGGGGTGGAGGTTTCTCGCAAATCTAATACGTAGCAATTCTAAAGTATAAAATTATTTCTGCTCTTTTTAGGTCCGACATCATACCTCTTCTAGAAGTGAGCATGCCAATAATCAATCGTAAAGCGCTTGGTGTGGCTGCTCTGAGTGTGATCACAATTTGTGCCCAAGTATGGAGCGCAAACGTAGTACAAGGACAAGCGATTACTAGATTGCGAGTGGAAATGAAGACAGCATCGGTAAATCCTTTCTGAAAATCTGGGTTACAGATGGAGTCTCGGTCAGAAATTAGGAATCAGGATTGTTTATAGCAATGAAAATTTTAAACTACCTATGTTACCTTATCCTCTCGTGGGGACCAATTCACAGGGTTTCTCCGAACCTTTCAGCAGCGTCCTCATGCATCGAACGAAGTAAGCTCAGAATCGGAGAACGCGTAGATGTACCTGTTTCACCGTATGTGAGTACTTCTCCCCAAAAACCATGGAATCCCCGCCGCATCGATCCGCTATGGAGGGGTTTGCTTCCATTTCCCACTGGATGGATACGGTAGCCTTCGCGGAAGTACTGTCGCTTATTATGGAAATTCGGGGAACACCCCAGATTTGACCTCAAAATAAAATTTGTATACAGTCATTCCACAGTGAAATAGAAAAGACACCAGCTCACCACAAAGCCCGTCACATATACGAAGCAACGAAAAAAGACAGTCTGGGTACACTGGCAATTAGTTCCGTAGTCACCAAGTCACAACAAGGCGTTTGTGGAAGGATTTACCAAAGGTCCCTGTGTCCCAGCTTTCTTTATACTGCGAAACCTTACCTTAAAAAGATAGTTCCCTCTACTCAGAAGACTCATTGAAGTGACCCAACTATTTTTACCTACAGCTACTTGACGGACTCAGACGAGACGAGATGATGAGATTAATGGGAATCGGGATTCAGAGAACGAGTGATGCTTTCAGAGTTTCTATACATGGAAGATGGCTTTGGCTTCCCTTCGGATTTACCTTACTCTGATAGATCAGATCTGAAGTTGATTATTGATAGTGAGAGCACTGATGGCTGTTTTTGCGAGAGCGAGTCTTACAACCAATACTACAGTTCTCTGAACTTCAAAAAGAGCTCTATCGGAATCCACATCAAATCCATAGCCGCTTCCGACAGCATGAGCGGATATTCTATTGCTAAATTTATATGATCATCCACTTGCAGTGTTTTGTAGGGACCCTTATTCCACTCTCTGTTTCCAAACTGGCTTACGGAACTTGCAGCTGGATGTGAGCATTTACATATACCCGCCGGCGTAGTATGTCCATCATGGAAGAGCCTTCCTGTTTTTGCCACCTTTTTGCATAGATTAGAGCGATTCCAGTGATTGTGTTTTCCATGAACTACATTTCCACTCTCTCCGCTGGAGACTACGATTTGGATGGCTTCACAGTTTTCCTACTGTTACAAATTTCTGTCCCACAAAAATTGCTTATGCGCCATTGTTGGGTCGAAAAACGGCTCAGTAGTATGCAAGAAGAGCTCAGTACTTGAGCCATTGTATAACGGACACGGACATGTTGATGTTGAGAGTTAGTATTTTTGTAATTCAATACTCTAAATACATTAATTATGCCATTTCATGCCAAAAATTATAACAACATGCAGTTCTTGAGCATGACGACAGTGGAAGACAACATTTGGCATTTTTTGCTTACTGCAGCCAACTCTAGATGCAATTGCATACCACCAAAATCTTGCCCGAATATCTCTTCCATCCTACCGCAGTCATAGTCCCCAAGCAATCCCTACTTCAACTAGTTCAACGAACTTTTAAATTTCGCAAGGTTTGCGGATTTCCGCTCACGCTTTGCCACCGCTTCTGCACCGATGATTCCGTACACATTCCTGTAAGCGAGGGCATAGAATGTCGCCCTCATGAGTGTACGTCAAACCATCTTCTACGTTTGTGGTATTAATTACAGCAGTTGGGATCTCTGATGCATTTTTGCTCAAAAAAGGCAGAGCAGGAGGATTGGTTAGCAGTCTGAGTGAGATTTTGCAGCACAACAACTCCACCTTTTCAGGAGAAAGCGCTATTCATGTGCTTGGCCGTAGCAGCATTACTCATGTCGGTGGTATTGTCTATTGTATATGCTAAGGAGTTCAAACGTGCGTTAGCAGACGGCCTTCTACGCGTGAGTTGCTGAAAATTTTGTAGTCGTACTTTTGTTTCACCTATTCTGTACATCAGAGAGGTAAGATAGTTGGAGACGTGGAGGGTTTTGTGGCTGAATTCTCACTATCCATCGTGCGCATGCACGTGGCAGTTCTTTGTAATGGCTGGCTTCTCAACTGCAATTACCCATGTTCACCTAATGAGATAAATCTAACATATTCATTGCATGTTACTCCTTCCCATTTGATTTCTGCTACGGGAAGAGTGTTTTACGCCCACCGAGGCGCCCTTCCCCCACTCCACCATCAAGCACGAATTCACGTCCCTTCCGCACCGAAGTGACAATGAGACAAAAAAGTCGGCTAAGTGATGCTTTTTCCATGGATGATCTGGCGTTTATTCATACTCCGGGAGAAAGCCAGCTAAAAAGATTCTTCGACTTTTATCAAAGCACTTACTACTCATTCAACCCAGTGATCACTGTTCTTCCCCATTCCTCACACAGCCTTCTCTTGCGTACCCATACAAGCCTTTTCGAAGCGGTGCATGGGTTCGCTCGAGTACTGAATCTTCAGAATCACTAGTATAATCGATTGAATAATCAACATTTTTCAAAGCTACGTAGTATCTGGGACACTTGCGGTCAAAAATGTGTAATGCGAAACAAATGGGAAACATTTATTACTTATCTTATCGGTCTCTGCGATTGTGATCCATTTCGAGGTAGTCCCCCGATGAATCCAATTGACTCGCTAGGCTTTTGCGGTGGGCCAGAGAGTTCCTATCAGGCTTCGTAGTAGTTGCGTTGAGGAGCACGCCGCTCTGAAAGCGTGCCAGAGTTCCTACTTCTCGTGTGCGCTTTCTTAGTAGTACGTGAGAACACTGTTGAGAGGGTGCGGGATTGTCATTAAGTAGACATTCTAGCCAAATCCATGTCTCAGCTGAAATGCAGATTACAATAAGGATCCAATATCTAATCCTCAACGGCCGCAAAAGAGGCCAGTGAGGATTAGAATATAGGTAGGCGCAAAATTCAGAGTGGAGTGATCTGTTTTGACTGACCCTTCAGTGATAGACAGTCACATTAAGGAACGCATTGAAAGCGCATTGAACCACCACAAAAGGGAGGAGGACAGTTGTACCGGTCAGGGGCAGCCCTGGTCTGGGTCTAGCTGTTCGTGTCCTTATTGCGTTGGTGCATCTCTGAACGGATGTGTCGTTGTTAAAAAGATCAGTATGGAACAGTAGCATTTCCCAGAGTTCATCTTCAACAGATATTTCCGGTACGAAAAATAAATCCGGATACAAATGAAGACGAACAAATCATTTTAATTAAGAAACTAATGCCTTCCCACTGAAGATTGCTCCTCGAACGCACTGTAAGAACCCCTACATACCTTTTTGTAAACCTGGACAGTCAGTTCCCTCCATAGAAGAGGTCGACGCCAGTTGATACAACTGCACCGCTCCAACTTAATGTCTCGCGGACCGACCTGATTTACATCTGTATAGACTATTCGTTCGTGATGAGGTTTGATGTTAAAAATCCCTTTTTCTTTGGATCCTCTCCCCGAAGGTGTATAGGCAGACGCTAATTACTTTTGAAGGACATCAGGTACGTTACGTCAGATCTCTACTTTTTTGTGAATTGCTCTGTTTCAGAAAATCGCCGACTATGACAATAATCCTGAGGCTCGTTATGTAGTCGACAAACTACAGGTATTTTGCCAAATTTGACTATATTCTGTACGAAAACTGAAGGCTCTTGGAATGATTGCATTGACTTTCAGAGCAGCGCTTACATCCACTAAATACAGGGAAGGGGAATTCCATCTCTCATTTGAATATTTTCGGATTAGTCCTACAATCAGTTTATGCTGATGACAAGCATTAATATAGTGTCCGGATTCCTGCACTAGGCTTAGTGATTTTCCATTTGAAATACTTTCTGACCTCCTTTCTTCTAATTATTATCTCACAAGTGCATTGTCGGTTAATCTCTTCTTGCTCAAACAGCCTCTTGGAGCGTAGTACAGTAATCAGTACCTGCGAAGGAACCGCTGTATCCAATAATGCTCTGAGTTGGTACTGGGTTTTCCTCTTTTGAGTTCCTACTTTTTGCAGACAGAGTACGACTGCTGTGGCATAGGCAGCGCTGAAGATTATGAAGACCTATCGACAATAGANAATCTCCGAAACCATTATTTCCTGAACAGTGCCTTTAAAGTGCTCTGTCGGTTAAGCTCTTCTTGCTCAAACACCCTCTAGGAGCATAGTGCAGTAGTAAGTACCTGCGAGAGAACCGCTGCATCCAGTAGTGCTCTGAGTTGGTTCTGAGTTTTCCTCTTTTGAGTTTCTACTTTTTGCAGACAGAGTACGACTGCTGTGGCATAGGCAGCGCTGAAGATTATGAAGACCTATCGACAATAGACCTCTATGGAAGTGTTAAGTGAGCTTTACATACCATTTCACTTTCTTCGGTAAGGTCATCCTTGCCGTTGATAAAAATGTAGGATCGGCTCAAGTTGGTTGAAAAAAGTTGAGTATAACTGTCTCGTGAAATTCTGTTAAGCAGAAACTGCTTTGCAGTCCAATGCCGAGGGAAAAGACGTTGCAGTCATGCCCTCACGACGAAACTAGCTGTCTTTATCCGCTCTCATGTTGTCTCAGTGTGGAGTGTACTGAATACCGATTGGCTGAATTGAATATCGAAGGCGACATATTCCACGAAAGATGGTATAAAAGCACAGGTGTCGTTCCCAATCGGTATACGCACCTGTTGCTGGCCTTGGATGAAGTTCAGCTGCTGCCCTGTCCTTGGAAATATTGGCAGCATTCAACATATTCATGTTTTAGGTTGTCTTTCGGCACTGCTCACGTCAAATCAGGGAGTGCTCGATCCGATGCTTCCCATTTGGCTTTTATCTGTAGCAATCGTCTCCGAAATAGTTGCACTTGTGTTTGCGCAAGTAGGTGTTAGAACTTTGAAAGCTTTTAGTATTTCGATGTCTTCCACTTCTGAAACTCCACCCTTATCGTGGTTCCGGGTCCTCTCAGCACAATTCTCAGTCTATAGATGGGACCCACCCTGACCGAAGAAGCGCTCAGTCCATCAGATTTCGTTGAGACTGAACGGAACTCACTTGATTGTGAAAGGAAAAAAACTCATGGGAATTCTGTGAACTGTTTTGAGGGGTAAAGTTGATTTCAAAAGCTGTGACCATTCTCAAGTGAAATTATGATAGGAGGGGATCGCTGTATATTTTGTTGAGCAAATTCTAGTCGCATCTGAGCTCGTCGATCACTCAGAATCATTAGGCTAATGCATGCGTGCAGGAACGTACGAATCAAAAAGCGACAGAAAATCCTTTCATGCGTCGAACTACATACTTGGGTAAACCTTTTTCCATCCATGAACAACGCCTTGCACAACTGAACCGGTGTCATTAGCACTGTCTCTGAATTTGGCAATGCAAAAATCTGTCCGACATCGCACCGTTCGTGGACCTTGAGCGTGAATTTGGTATAGTGCTTCCCACAACTTTGGCACTGATGAGCGGACCTGATTAGGGGAGGGCTTACATGTTCTACGCGTGATTAGAACTGAGATTCAACCCAGAAAGTAAGCATATAATGGCGACGTCGCTTGTCAATATACTTCTTCTGTAAATTGGAATTGAATTTTATTACATGCCCTTACGGAATATATGAAAGAAACATCTAAAACAAAATGTGTATAGCCATTTATACGGAAAGGCAAATAAGTAAAGTCTTACTTTACGTCCAATCCGTCTTCGTAATACGAGAACATCTGATCCCTGACACTTCAGCTATGTAGCCTTTTCTCAGGTTCACCCTTTTCTATGTGTGTGACTTTCTAAATGAGCCTTCTTCTTCAAACATGAAAGCTGCGGGCCATACCTGTGCTCTTCGGCACCATCCGCGTCGTAAAGCTCATACATAAGAAGTCGCCTCCACTGCTCCTTCTTCGTACTGAGCAAATTTGCGTGCAATCCTTTTACCTGCCTCACATTGAAGCACTTGCTTGGACGGTCTGATGCTGCCCAAATTGTCAGAGTTGAGTGTTACAAGCAATGATTACAGCTGACGCTTACTTCGTATCTAACATTGGCTGAAAGCGGTTTGAGTGAAGCCGACGAATCGGTGGCTTGGCTTTTACCATTATCGTATCCTGACCCCGAAGACATTGTTCAGGTCAGAAATCTCGTTTGGGTTCTCACCTCTGATCTTTTTCAAAAACAACGAAAATCTACCATAAATACCGAGAAAATGGATATATCAATACAAGGTTGCTTTTCAGCACCTCACAGATTGGGCCCAAGAGTTGTATGCCCTTGACGAGGGTGGTGATGAAGGAGAGGGAGCTGCCATTAAGAAACCTCAACTTGGTGGAAGGTTTCCTACAAGCAGTGGCGTAAAACCTGAACAGGTAACCAGGAATGCAGCGGCCGTAGCAGCTTTGAAGTAGCTTTGAAGCAAACAAAGTGCAATTCGGTGAGTAATCCTTCGCAGTCTTAGTAAGGAGAAGATGAAATTTCTCCTCCAGCAATTACTCTATAATGTCTCTCAGTAATTACAGCAGCTCTTTAATGATCTACACAGACCCGTTGTGAAACTTGTCTCTTATTGATGTATTTATTCATTTTTGCACGGCTATAGAAAGTTTTTGAATAATGGCTTCCATAAAACTTCAACCGCTTGTAAGTATAAATTGCACGTGAAACCACCATCCGTCTACAACCACGGGTTATATCCTGAAATAGCAGTATTCCATAACTAATTGTAACTATGTTCCTTTAACTGAGAGTGCACCTTTCTTCAGTTCTCCTCCAGTGTTCTTATCCTTCGCGCTATCCCAAAATTGCTCACCGTAGCAAAAATATTCCACTTTGTCCCACTTTTTTTCCACTCGCAGACTCTTTTCAACCAGCCAGCCCCATTATCAAGATAGTATTCCTCATCTTTCCATAAAGTTCCTTACTCGATATTTCCTAGGGTTCCCACACTACGTCCCTTACATAATTGTTCATTGCTTAAATTATCGCTTCTGCTAAAAGCAAGACTTTGAGCGTCGACCACCACTTTTTTGAGTCGTGCGATGTGGTGGCTTAGGCAGAAGGATGGCGCCTTTGTATAAGTTCAGAGAGATCGTTGGTCTCTTTGATAAACAAGCAAAGGTGTTGTTCAATGGTATGATTAATTTATTCAAACAACACAAAACACCCTACTCGCGGGTGGTGCAGAAGTAAGTAACAGAGGTTTAACCCCGCCCCCAAAGAGCGGGGTCGACCGCGGGTTCTGGCCCATGCCAGAACACTCCCGCCGGCCACAACGAATAAATTTATTTATTCATAAAAAGCATTTGTTTTCTTTTTCTTCAAGGTATCAGCCCGCTGCCCATTGTCCTCACGGCCGTCGTCTTTTGAACCCGCCCCCTTGTCCTCAGTTGGTGCACAGCAGCACATTGTGTGGTCTCCCACACGCCGCGGACTGCACGCCACAATCGTCTCCTTCGTGTGCAGGTTTGAGGCAAGGATCACATCTCCTTCGTGTGCAGGTTTGAGGCAAGGATCACAAAGCTCCGCCACCTGCATAGTTTTCGCAACTGCACCAGGAAAGCGGTTGCACCGCGACGTGTTGTGACCGTCGTGGTTGTCTGCCACTGGGCAGAAAATGCAGTACGAGCGCGATTCCGACCGCTTCAGCAGCTCGTTGACGGTTGCCTCGAGGCTGTGCATTCGACCAACCACGCGCTCTAAGGCAGCCAAAATATCGGCGTTAGACGGAGACGATGCATTTTCAGCTTTATCAAGCATAGCGCTAATGTCTGATATATCCATGTGCTGACTTGTGCCGGTGCGTCTGCTTATATACACTTTTTACTCGAAGGAGAACTTCGTAGGGAAAATGTAAATATACAGTGCAACATAATGGTGTCAGAATTACCCGTAAGAAGCTTTAAGAATGCTATATGTGAAGAGAGTTTTTGGCATCGGTTCAGCTTTTATCTATGGTACGGTTATGCGTTCGAAGAAACCGATCAAGCAAATGTGCAACGCGCCACATGGAGCTACGATACTTCTAATTGCAACACACAGAACATTGAGTAGTACAATAATTGCTATTGGAATCCGGATAAATGAATCAGACCTGTAACTACCAAGCAGGCAACAGCAATGAGTATAGCTGCTTCCCAGTGATCCTTGATTGTTTTGAGCAAGGGCTTCAGATCAAGGCAGTGGAACTGAGAGAAATCTATCTTACTTACTCGCCCTTTCTCAGAGTTGTGGAGAGATACTGAATCATTCGAGACCGGATGATGAAACAAGTGTCCTTCAAGAAGCATTTCGCTTTTTGAGTGGCCACATGCTATGTAACAAATATCCTCAACAAAAGCCTTATTGAAGTTCGAGCTAAGCTCTGTAGTCGCATTTTCAGGGTTTCACTTAAAAACAGTAGTGAAGCTGCTGCATTTGATTTCAGCAAATGATTTAGAGAGTGAAATGCATGTCACATTTGCTTGTGCTCCATGTAGACAGCCATAACAACCTTTCGGCTCACTCAACTGTGCAGTGCATTGGTTCTCGGTAACTAGTTCAGAGCTCTCTGTCATTATCTTAGATCCTACATATAGAGTTACTTCCTCAAATGAGTTAACCACAACGTCATTGCCTTGAGTGTGCATTTCTATACAGTGTGTTTCAAAAGTATGTGCACACCCAACATTTTGTTTTTTTGGAGATACCATTGCTTCCTGTAACCTATGACCTTCACCATTCAATTCCTTGTGTGCGATAACATACGAACACTTTTTCTGAGAAAACATCGTAGCTGCTAACACAGTTTTTTATTAAAGAAAAATTTCGCCACAAGCTGACAAGGCTGGAATTTGCTCGTAGGAACA